ATGGCAAGAGGGGCCAGGATGGGGGCGGTGAGCGGCGCTCAGTGACAAGGAGCCCCTCAGAGGCAGGGGCTTGGAACCACATTCAGGGAAAAGGCAGCAGGAAAGGGGCTTCATCACCCCTTAGCGGACACGCTCAGCAAGGCCTTCTCGCCACGCACCAACCCAATTATGTTCCCAGGGAGCCGGCGAGGGTTCCCACACTGCTATTTTTAAAACTGACAAGAAAAGGGCTTGTCGGATTGTCGTGTACTTGCAGACCCGAGGGTTGCTCAGGCTCGTCCCGACGAGCCGTGCCGATGGCGCATTACCTGCTGGCCGGGCACCCGGCCAGGTACTCGGTACTCAGTCACTGAGGGCGTCCTTTTAGCCGAGGGCTGGGGCTGGAAGGAGGGGGCCTCAGTCACCTGTTCTGGCCTAATGGCAACACTCCACCCAGGGCCCCAGAAACCCCTGAAGGTCAGTCATAAGATAAGGAGCAGACCCAGGCAGCATCACCTGCCCCCAGGGGTGTCTGGGACTGGGCAGCCCCCACTTTACTGAAATAAAGTACGCTCACATGGCCTGGGCAGCTGCAGGGGGTCAGGAGGGACAAGCAGTCAGTGATAACCAGCCTGGCCGGCATCTGTACCTGGGTGGGTTCCTCAGTGACAAGTGGAAGGGGCAAAAGGGACTCCAGTTGCCCTGGAAAAGAAAAGGCCCAGTGTTGGGAAGGTCTTCACGCCCAGGGCGCGTGACTGACTTCAGTGAGGGCCTCTACGTAAACTTTTAAGACTTGGTGGGCGGGTGCAGAAAGCCAGTTGTCTTTGGGGTCACCCAAGACAAGCCTGTGAGTTAGTTCTCTCGTTTATTAAACCTGCCACCTCCCCATCTAGAGTGGTCTGCCTGTTTTTTCTCAGTCTTTCCCTGCCCTCTGAGTACAGGGCCAATTTCAGATCACATCTAGGAAGCTCCCAAGGGGGCTGCAACCCGGCACCCAGGCCCCCGTGGCCGTGGCCGGGATTAGAGGTGCCGCCCTTCAAACAGGTGAGTCAAGGCTTAGCCGTGGAGGGGTAAAGGGTTGGGGGCTGCACCCAGGAACCACGGAAAATCCTATTTCCCACTCCAGGGAACAGCTTGCAAACAGCGAGGTGGGCACGGGAGGCAGTTCGTCAAAAGAGCACTGAAGCCAACCTGCCTATGTTGGCAGGTCGGGTAACAAAACTATTTTGAGGTCTAGCAGCAAACCCTGCAGCAGGGCTGCAAGGCCGCCAGCCCCTCCCGCACTGCAGCCTAAGGAGACGCTCAGGCTGGATCCAGTCAATAGTTACGCGAGAGGCGTTTTCTTTGCCAAGAGCAGGAATTTGACCACCTTCGCGATCGGAGAACTCAACCTCTGCTGCAGAGGCAAAGCTGCAGCCTGCTCCACCCGGCCAGCAAAGTGCGCCGGCGGAGTGCGGGAGGTGAAGGGCTTCCTGTTAGGCAATGCTGACCTCGACCTCGCACAGCCCAGTACGTGCCACCACCTGTCTAGTGCGGGCAGGGCAGGAAAGGCTTCCAGTTAAAAGACAAAACAGTTTCCAACGAGGCTATGCAAGAGCCTAAGTGACCTGCCGCAAGTGGAGAAACCCTACCTCCAACTGGGCCACCAAGGAAACAAGGGCTCGGTCCCTGGAAATAACAGATCCTATGGATGGAGGCTGATGAGTCAGCCTGGGGACAGGCTTGTTTACTNCACGGGGACGTCCCTACCTTGACGTGGTAGTGGGCGTCCAGCAGGATGTTCGCGGGCTTGAGGTCCAGGTGGAGCAGAGGCGGGGACATGCAGTGCAGGAAGTTCATGCCCACGGCCGTCTCGTGGATGATGCGGAGGCGCAGGTCCCACGGCAGCGGCTCGGAGGCCAGCAGCTTCTCCAGGGAGCCCGTCTCCATGTACTCCATGACCAGGCCCACGGGCTCCCGGCATATGCCGTACACGGGCAGGATGTAGCGGAACTTGGCCATCTCCATCTTCTTGGCTTCCTCCAAAAGCTCCATGCGCTCCCTGTAAAAGTTCAAGGACGTGAGGAGCAGGCATGCAGCGGTCCCCAGGCCACTCACGCAAAGCACCACGGCCACAAGGCAGCCAGCTCCATGGGCTGAGGAAATCACTGGCGCGCACACACATACGCACAAGCATGCATGCGCGTACACACAGACGGAGCCCACTTTCGCGTCGCATAATTACTAAATTCTGGGCCGTCCTAAGTCTCTGGTGTCATGGCTATTCAAGCACACCTGTGCATCGTGGGGTCGTTACGAGTGACAAGGAGAGAGATTCTAATTATTCCCTAAAACCCGCAGGTAGAAATGAGCCAGAGCACACCTGGGGCCGGAGGGAAGAGGCTGATGCTGACAGTCCCTTCTCTTGGGATCAGGGCAGAGAAGTTGAGGCCAGACTAAACGCTGGAAACAAATATTCTGTCTGAAGAATGCAATTTACCTTCTTTTAAGGCCAGTCCTCCAGTTAGCCCAATTATTCCTGACTCCAACCCCACACTTCAATGAATGGTCTGCTCGTCTGAGAGCCACTTCTTAAAAACTTTTTAAATTGCAGTAAAATATACATAATTGAACCATTCATAGGTGTACAATTCGAAAGCATCACATATAGTCCGCGTTGTGAAGCCATCACCACTATCTACATGCAACTTTTTCATCATCCCCAACAGAACCCCTGTCCCCCATCCAACAGAAGCACCTTCCTCCCAGCCCCCCGTTAACTGCTTTTCTATTTTCTGTCCCTACAAATCTGCCCACTGTGGGGACCTC